CGTGAAACGGAAAACCTCCATGACACACGTCTTCCTGTTTGTCTATTTCAACCTTTGGCTTTCTCAATGATGTGAGCTAGGCAGGTTCCGGAATTCGACCAACTTGAAAACAAAGCTTTTCTTGAAAGGACGAAACTGGAGAAGAGGGAGTCCTTGTCTTGCCAGACGATGGCAAGAAAAAGGTTCGACTGGGTCATCGGGTCAGTGCAGACAAGGTGAAGAAGGAGGAGTGTGAGTCTGCAGGCCAAATGGCCGGTGTGCATGAGAAGAACCAAAGCAAGCTCAAGGTCGATGCCAACACGCAGGAGCGCGTTGGCATGGGAGGGGGATCATGAGATCACTTTCTTTCTGAGTTCAGCTCAAACCCGCTCAAGCGATATTATACAGTTGTCGTCGTTGTCTAATCTAGTCTAGTCACAGTCTGGTCGTGTTTTATCTCAGAACGTCAGAACGTCATTTCATTTCTGTTATCAATATCCTGGCACTGCCACCAAACCAGGAGATGGTGAATGCAGCCTTGGACAAGGTTGAAGAAACCCCTGAGGAAGAAGAGCAGGGGGTTGTTGAGGAGCAGGAAAACAGCGGTTCTGAGGATGACGATGGCATCTGTGGCTTTGGCGCTGGCTCAAAGGACAAGCAGGAGGATGAACAGAAGCCCGCTCCAAAACGAAGACGAACTGGTGGCGGTGGAGGTGGAAGCGGAGGCACTGGAGGCCCAGCTGCCAAGGGGAAGGCTTCCGGTCAGGATGGTGAGGTCCCGAACTTGGTCAAAAAATGCTCAGAGCTGCATGGCTGCCGTTCAATCTATCACACCACTTCAAGCATGGCAGGGCTCCATCAGGCTCAAGGATGCTGACAAGCGCCTGCATGCTGCTACAGAGGCGTTGACGATGCTTGAGGAGCATGTGCTATTATCTCCAAAAGCCCAGGATGCAAGCAAGAAGTTGACCGATGTTTGCTCAGAATGCACGGAGTTCTTAGACGTTTTGGTCCCCTTGCTCTCCGACACGTGCATGTCGTGTGTGAAGGCAATGGACAGGGCTGAAATTATTTCGTTTGGAAAATTCCTTCCAGCAGATTGCGCCAGTGCAGTCCTTGTAGATCTGGGGAAGAGACTGCTGGAGGCAGGGTGGCTGGTTGCGTATTACGGTATCGATCGCTGGCCTTTACATTGGGGCCTGGCGGCCTGTAGGGTGTTTGGATGAGGCAGTGAGGCAATGTTATTTTTAGGCTGCTGTTGAACTTCATGTGGTGACTTGCTTTCAATGGCACACCGACACAACGACTGCATACGACTAAACGACAGACTATATTGCACAGTCAGAATCAGAATCTAATCACAAAAAGGGCAGAGGTAAGGTAGTGCAATCCAATCCGTTCCCCTTGTCATCAGCTCTTTGTCATGGGGCAGGAGTTGGCGCAACAGTCGCGAACTGGCATTGCTGACCAGAGCGGCTTTCAGGTCAGCTTTTTCAACTTCCTGATCTTGAAGGAGACTGAAGGGCTTGCAACTGGTTTGACACTCTTCAAACTTTCGCAGGTTGACGGACTGAAATTGACTGAGGGCGGCCTTTTGCAAGTTCAGTCAGTGCTGGTGAGCAGCTGGATGGACTCGGTCCAAAAAGCTCAAGACCCGGACTTCTTGATCAGGGCAATTCCGGCCAATCTTTGGATGCCTGACATCCTCAGGATGGGTGTGGTAAAAAATGCATGATGATTGATGATATGATATGAATTGATAATATGAAACCGAAAACCGGGTTCTTCATTTAGATTTGAAGTGCTGGCTGACTGGGTTGTGAATTTTGAAAGAGCGACCCTTCCCACGAATCGAGCATTTTGTCAGGAGCGTCACAGAGTCCATTTCCAACTTGTCCTTGGTTTTGAAGAAGGATCAGGATGATGGGGACAATGCCAACATCAACACCTCAGGTGTGTCCACTCGACACCTGGTCGA